TACGAGGGCCCACGGGCATCACTGCAGAAAGGCCGAGCCATTCGCCCTTCCCGAAACAGGGGCCAGCCACCCGCAGGGCTGCTCAAGCCGACAATATCCTCCGCCTCCGCCTCCTCCTCCACCTCCTCCTCCTCCTCCTCCACCTCCTCCTCCTCCTCCGCAACATCATCATCATCATCATCATCAGCATCAGCATCAGCATCAGCATCATCATCATCATCATCATCATCATCATCATCATCATCATCATCATCATCATCATCATCATCATCATCATCATCATCATCATCGGCATCATCATTAGCATCATCATCAGCAGCAGCATCATCGACAGCATCATCCTCATCACCATGATCATCATCATCATCATCATCATCAGCATCATCATCATCATCATCATCATCATCATCATCATCATCATCAGCATCATCATCATCATCATCATCAGCATCATCATCATCATCATCATCATCCAATTCCACCCCACCCCCCACTCCACCCCACCCCCACCCCCCAACCCCAACCCCTTACACGCTCCCGCGCGCCCACGAGCGTCCGCTGGAACGCGCGTGCGGAGGGAGGTAACCAAGACACATCTGCCACGAAGGGAGGGAAGAAAAGAGCGAGGAGCCAGGAGGAGGAAGGGAGAAGGACGAGCAGGAGAAGAGGAGGAGGAGGAGGAGGAGGAGAAGGAGAACAAGGAGAAGGGAGGAGGAGAGGGAGAAGGAATAGGAGGAGGAGGAGGAGGAGGAGGAGGAGGAGGTGGGAGGAGAGGGAGGAGGGAGGAGGAGGAAGGAGGGAGGAGGGGGGAGGAGGAGGAAGGAGGAGGGAGGAGGGAGAAGGACGAGGAAAGAGGGAGGAACGGGGAGGAGAAGGGAGGAGAAAGAACGGAGGAGGAGGAGGAGCAGCAGCAGCCGCAGTAGAAGCAGCATTATGTGAGAGAGTTGATTGCACACCCTTCTTGCATGTAAACCTCACGTTGTACCATAACTTGCTCAGCTCACTTCTCGTTTCTCTTGCGTCTTGGGTCTTCTGTCTCATCTCTCTCTGTCTCAACTTTTGCCTTGCGGTTGCTGAGCTTGGCGTAAGTTTAACAACGTTCCCGAAAGTAGCCGGAGTCATACTCTTGCTAGCGTGGATCTGCTCAGAGGAATAGTGCGCAAATGCCATCCGTGCTGCAGCCCATTTAGCACCAAGCGGAGATGGCGTAACCCCAAGTGGCACACTCCAAAGGTGGCCGGGTGCTAGCAGATGTGGTGAAAATGCATGTCTGGTCTACCAACAAGCAGCGCTTTCACAGTTCCACATTGTTGCCGTGGAAATATAAATTCCTATCCCTACTACATCCCCATCTTCACCATCATTAATCTCTTCTTCATCTACACAGACTCTGTCACCAAGCTCGTCTGCTTCTTCATTATTGTCCTGTGCAGGTAGCCTCTAGCTTTCCTCACATGGCAGGCATGGAAGCCCAATCACGTCGTGTGCGAGAAGTCTTTCCCTCCCTACCCCGCTACCTACCTCCACATGCTCTGCAATGCCTATTTGAACACGCTCTCATACCTGGCCTCTGTCAGCATCGTAATATCACACCTACCTCAGACACGACCACCACAGCGCGTAAGATTGGCAGATTGGTACTTACATGGAGCACGCGTGCAGCACATGATCAACACTGGTTATAAAAAATCAGTTAATATTAGGTGCACCCTCACATCGTGGCAGCAACACAAACGTGAATCACAAGCTGTTCTTCCCCTCCCGGTCTTCATCGGCATCCCTACCGCACGCGAACGGATGTCAGAACAGCACGAGCGAAAGCACTGGACGCGAGTACCTCTTCGATGTGCTACGCCCAACCCCCAGATGTGCGTTCTACGCTCTGACTTTGGATCGGCGGTGGACAAACCTCCCTTTAGCAAACCTCCCCTTACTGAAAGCGGCCTGGGACCGAAACCGACGGACCTGGACCCGCAAAGATGACGGCCGCGACGCCCTCTCGCGAACCGAAAACGGCCAATTCCTCCATCGACGTGTCTTAGGAGGTCTGTCCACCTCCGAGCTTTGGAGGGGAGCGTTGGCTCCGGCATCTCGCTGACATGGCTCGGCTGGTCTGGGACCCTGCCTCCCGACCACACGCAGCACATCACGCTGCTCGGCGTCCTCCTGGGCGTCTCGAGCCCGGCCTGTGGGGCGCAAGGTCCGCGCAGCCGCACGGTGCGACTCTGGGCCGAAAGGTCGCGTTCGGGGAGCACTTCCAGGCCACCCTCAACGAGAAAGGAAGCCGAGCTGAACGCCCGCGGCATCGTTCCTGGCGTTCGCCTTCGTCCTGGTCGCTCGTTCTCGCCCCCATGGTCTTCAGCAATGAGGCGAGAATTGCCCGGTACGAGTCCTCGGCAATTAGAGCACTGCGGCCCCCGCCCAACTCAATGCGGAGCAGGACCAACTCAGCGAGGGCAGGGTCCGAAGCCACGTCCGTTCCCGAGGTTCCGGACGCATCCCACTCTCGCAGACGAGTCTCGACTCAATTTGGTATGCCGTCGACTCAATTTGGTATGTCGTCTACGGGAAGATCAGGCGATGCGGAGCCATCTCCCGTCTACTGACACCTCGTTTGCTGCCCTGCTGGGTTGGGCTCGTCAGCGCTACAATCTTTCCAGAGATGAAGTGGCGCAGCGTCTCTACCGCAGAGGCTACGAGCTCTGGCTGGCAACATACTTGGGGGAGCGACACACCCGCCTACACTATCATACTGCATGGCGTCATGGCTGGTTGGTCGAATATCTCCTATCTGTGTGGATTCTCTGCTCACGCCTCACGCATGACCGCACTGTCACTGCATCAAAAAATGCGTTATCCCAATATTGCTCTCTACCTGCGCGCAAAAAAAGAATCCTGCGTGTACGACCTCCTAAAGCTTCTGATCATATTACGCAACAACAGCAAGTATGTCGAGATTTCTCCTGCACAGTTTGTCAATATCTGCTACATGACCCTCGCTGCAAAGATCTCCTGTCACATGACGTTGTTTGGCTGAATCAGCACTGGGATGTTCCTGCCACCCTGCCTCTCTCGTCTTCTTCGATTTTTGTCAGCAGCCTGCCTCGTACCACTCGCACCTGCAACTGCCGGGGCGCGTCAAGGCGCATTGGCTTTTCAAGCATTGGGGCGACAGGTACGCATTTCATGTACCTTGTGTTACTGGCCTGGAGCTGCACGCATGCCATATACGAGACTCCCTACCCCACCATGGATTCATACCTTTGGATAAGCACCCGCACAGACGTGCATGCATACCCCGTATCTGCTACTTTTGGAAACCATGGGTGTCTTTGCGAAGACCCTGTACACTACGAGCACTGCCCGCAACTACATGCTAAAGGAGTTGCCCGGCGTCTTCAAAAACTGGTCGACTAATACATCCCAAAAGAGCACCAGAACCCTGAAATTACTCGTGTACATTATCTTCCGCACACGTATCTTACCATCAAAGGCAAGTGCCTTGATCGCACGAGTGGCGCACTCACATGTACACGCGCGCATGCACACCACAGAGAGATCGTCTCCAATTGCAACAACACTCAGCGCAGGTTCCTCTGGAAGGCTGCCCGAGCGCTACGATTGGCCAAGCAGCATTCTGGAGATATTTCTTGGTCGCTCTGGGAATCCCGTCTCCTACCGAAAGTGTTGGCGGAGCGTGTTCGTCGTCTTTGCACCAATGGCCAATTTACGTTTCGGTGCCATTGTGGAAAACCAAAGTCGTGTATACCTTGGCTTAAACATGCGATACCAGTCAGTTGTTTTAAGATGCCAACGTCGATCGCGGTTTTCGTCGGTGTTCGTTGTTCCTGGACCGGGCCTTCAAACAGCATGGGAAAACAGCAGTGGCAGTCAAACGGGGTTCAAAGGCAAAACGTTTCTGATGTCGTAGTGGAGATCGCGTTCCCTCTGATCATGATGCATACACATTCTCTGACATTCGTAGGGCCCTCAAACTCGCTTCCAAAGACATCCACTTCATGGTGGGCAAAGACAGTTTCTGCCGTAAGCGGGGGTGGCCCATGGGTGGCAGCATGTCCGAGCCCGCCACCTTGGGCGACCCTGGAGAGGACGTCCATCGCCTATACACGGAAGCAGGGCAGAGCACCACCATCGGTCTGGCATGCCCTGGGTTTTCGACCGCGGAGCTCCTCCAAGACATCTTAGATGTCGACGACGGCCTCGTGTTTCGCAGGGTCTTCTGTGAGCGTTGCCGCGAACGTGCTGTGGGCATGCTCTGGCCCCCGGACGTCGGGGTCACGGTGGAAGGCCGGGGCCTCTCTCTCTGACATGCCTCCAGGCGCACAGCCGACCCAGAGGTCTGTCGTACGAGGTGCGCCCATTCGCCCCGGACGCCGACTTTGCCCGTGGACAGGCAGACCAAACCCGGTTGGCAGAATGTCCTCACGGTCCCCCCTCGTCTACCACACTCTCGTTTCACCATGTGCGTCTCATGGTTTTGGATCGGGTTCTCAGCCACAGCAGCGTGGCTGAAGGAGACCCGTGCCGTGCCCAAGATGCCTTCGTGGACCTTGTTTGTGAGATATCACGTTTGCAGTGGCCCCCGCAATGGCTTGCAAAGACGTGCCGCAGTTTTCCTCGGAAGCATCGCTCAGAATTCTTGGCTGTCGTCAGGGTTTTCGGCCAAATCCTCCCAAGACTATTTCCAGAGGGTTTGGGAGACCCTTTGAACACAGATGGATCTCAACAGTTCGTCCTCACACACCGTGTTCTCCACGAGACATATACATGGATCTGCCCAGCAGCCTAACTATTCTTCATACACCATTACGTGTGCCCATCGCGCCTGCAGCCCATCTCGGCCCTCGCCGCATGCACAACTCTCACCCCCAGCCCTGGTGCTGCTCCATTGCGGGTCTCATGGGGTCTTGGGCCTGCTACAACCAGTACGGGCGGGGGGGGCAACGGCAACGGCAAGGGCAAAGGCAAGGGCAATGTCCATGGGCTACACGCCGTATGGATCGCAGCAGCCTCTATGGATGGCTGGAGGGCTCTCGGGCATCGATAACTTGAACCGCCGCCTGTATGACTACGAACAGGCTGCAGTCATGGAGGAGCAAGAAGGGTCCTTCGTGAAAAAGATCTCGGCAGGAGCGGAGGCAGCCGAGCGCAAGCTCCTGGGGATCAAGAGCAAGCATGACGAGAAAGGGAAGAAGAACCAGCGTGACGGCAAGCGTGCACCTTTCCGCTTCTTGAGGATGGCGAAGAGGCTTGCCATGTCTGAGGAGTCGGAGTCTGACGAGGATTCGGACAGTGACCACGCCGGAGTTGGCCTCATGAAGCAGATGCTCCGCAAGATCATGCAGAAGCAGACCCCCCCGAGGATGAGGTCACCAAGTGGGTGAAGTCCCTGCAGGCAAGGATGGGGAACCCGTCCGGAGCCCGCAAGTACGCGGAATTGGAGTTCGTCGAGAGACTCAAAGAGGTCGTCGCAGCCAAACACGACATCACGAAGAAGAGCCTCGACGACGTCTTGGGCGATTTCGTCGAGAACGCAGGCCTGGCCGGGTCAGGAGCGAGTGGAAGTGGCCGTCGCGCCACACCATCGGGTGGCCCGCAGGGCCTGCGTGCCTTGGCCGTCCCCAGCCAGGATGAGGAGCCCGAGGAGGCGGAAAACACTGAAGCAAAAGCACTGAGGAGCACGTGGCCAAAATCGTCTGCCCTGACACTTCGCTGGAGGGCTGGCCGGAAGTGCGTACCGGATTCATTTCGCGCCTGGCCCAGGAAACCACGCAGGCGAAGTTGGACCCGATCCTGAAAAAGAGCAACTTGAGCACGTCCATCGGGAAGATCAAAGCGAAGAAAATCGAGCAGCGCATCCAGTCCGTTACTGGCAAGGGCTCCGGCGCCATGGCCTAGAAGACAAGCCAGACAAGACTACACCACTACAAGATCAAAGTCGCCAACCATGACGATGCGCCGAGTGATTAAGATAACGTGCCTGGTCGTTCTCCTACCAAGAATTATCCTCCTCGATGTCTGCTCAATGGGGGTCGAGCGGATCACACCGCTACGAGGATACGCAAGCCTTGCGGCAGCCCTTGGACTATGCTGTGTAGCCCTTCAAGCTGCTGCGGCTGTTGTGGCGGATTCAGCAGCAGCAGCAGCAGTAGAAGCAGCATTATGTGAGAGAGGTGATTGCACACCCGTCTTGCATGTAAACCTCAAGTCGTACCATACCTTGCTCAGCTCACTTCTCGCTTATCTTGCGTCTTGGGTCCTCTGTCTCATCTCTCTCTGTCTCAGCTTTTGCCTTGCGGTTGCTGAGCTTGGCGTAAGTTAAACAACGTTCCCGAAAGTAGCCGGAGTCATACTCTTGCTAGCGTGGATCTGCTCAGAGGAATACGTAGTGCGCAAATGCCATGCGTGCTGCAGCCCATTTAGCACCGAGCGAAGATGGCATAAGCCCCAGTGGCACACTCCAAAGGTGGCCAGGTGCTAACAGATGTGGTGACAATCCATGTCTGGTCTACCAACAAGCAGGAGGAGAAGGGATGGGGGAGAAGGAGGAGGAGGGAGGCGGAGCAGCAGGAGGAGGAGGAGGAACAAGGGTAACCGAATGGATTCGTCCAGATGCCACTTTAGCCGCCTACACGGCGGGAAAACGAGCCCCCAACGCTTGGGGGCGAACCAGATATAAGGGTAGGAAAAACAGCATGATTCAGGTGAAATCCCACGCTTCCCCAGATACCGTGCAGGGAGACGAGGCTCTCCCAGCCCGCTGAATAGTCAAGGGGGTGGCCGATCATGCGCCCGAGCAGGGGGCTGCCCTGGCCCAGCTCCCAGGGTCGGCCATAAGTGAGGTGGTGGCCAGAGATGCGCAGTGTGCGGAAGTGCTCGAACTCCTCACTTCGGTCGCCTTTTTGAGGTTGCCAGGCGGGCTCCAGAGCTGCATGGGCCCACCGCCAGAGCTGCCAGGCTCGCCGAAGCACGAGAGCGCAGAGGCGCCAAACGGGCGGGAGCTGTAGGAGGCCATGGCGGGTTCCACGCACCGCACAACGCCTGGAAGGATTCCAATGAGCGCTTCAAGTGTAAGATTTGCGGGGCAAAGCCCCAGGGCAATGCTCTGGCGTGGTTTCGCGCGAGACCTGCTTGGGAAGGCCGGCCCCGTTGCACAGTTCGCAGCTTTTGGGTTTCACACGGGAGCTCAACTGTTACCGAGCTTGTGGAGCTACGAAGCCCGATAAGAAATGTCAGAAGCTTGTTTCCATGTATGGTGCCTGGCAGAAGAGGGCCCTTGGGTAGCAGAGTTTCGAAAGTTCTTGCAGAAGGGAAGCTGCCCCCAGGCCTCGAGGCGTGGCCCAACAGTCGTCGAGACTGAAGTCTGGCACCTTTCGTTGCGCCCGATCCTGGGAGGCAGCAGTGCCGACCCGGAGGAGGAGCCGAAGGGAGGAGGAGGAGGAAGAGGGAGCGAGGGAGGAGCGAGCGAGCGAGGAGCGAGCAGCAGGAGCGCGGGAGGAGCCGAAGGGAGGGAGGCGAGAACGCCGCCGCCGCCGCCGGCCTGGTTCACGGAGACGCCCAGGCGCGAGGTGTGGGTGCGGGCGAGGCGCGGGTCCGCCGCCGCGCCGCCGAGGCCCTGCGGCCTCATGCGGCCCGCGCGGCGCGCGGCCCCGGGCCGCCGCACATCAGCCGGGCCCCGCGGCCCTCGCGAGGTCGGTGGGCGCGCGCGCGCCGGTCGCGGGGCGCGGGGGCGGCAGAGCGCCGGCCCGGGCGGTGCGGGCGGCGGCGGCGGCGGCGGGTAGAGGGCGGGTCCTCCTCCACCTCCTCCTCCTCCTCCTCCTCCTCCACCTCCTACTCCTCCTCCTCCTCCTCCTCCTTCTTCTTCCTACCTCCCTCCCTCCCTCCCTCCCTCCGTCTCTCCCTCCCTACCTGCCTCCCTCCATTCCTCCCTCCTCCTCCTCCCTCTCGGAGGAGGGGTGGGGCAGGAGAGAGGGGAGGGTGCGGGGGGCGGCGGCGGAGGCGAGGAGGAGTAGAAGAAGGAGAAAGAGAAAAGGATGAGGTGGAGGAGGAAGGGGGGAGGGGAGGAGTAGAGGGAGGAGGCGGAGGAGGACGTAGGACAATACGCTTCCATCAGGGGCTTGAGGTCCCCGGGCGCCTGGGCATTGTACGAGCGGCCACCCAGAGGGGAAGAAGGGGGGAGGAGGGCAGAGGGAGGACGGGTACAAGGGCAAAAGAACCCAGATCCACGATCCCTCGCCACCGGCGCAAAAGGCTGCGCACGGCTCGGTCTCGAACAAACCACGCGCCACTCCCACCCGCATCGGCGCGACTCTCCGGTCCGAGCGGCGGCGGCCCCAAGGTCGCCACAAGGGCGGCCCTGGTCTGGGATGCCCAGCCAGGCCGCCGACCCCCACCCGGACCCAGAGCCGAACCCGACCGCAAAGACGACGAGCTGCAGACGGAACGCCGCCACAGCTCGTGGGAACATTCAGCTCTGGCGGGCGACGCGCACCTCTCGCGCGGCCGCCCTGGACAGAAAAGCAACGCTGGCATCGCAACTCTGATGCCGTGCCGTCTGCATGCGACCTCCACCTGGCGCACGAAGAAGGGACGCCAGCTCCGGAATTCGAAAACTCGGGCCGCCAGAGGGCGAGAGCAATCACACTCAGAAGGGCCCTGATCCCGAACCCCCCAAGAGCCCACATACACACACAACCACACACACACGCACGCACACACACACACACACACACACACGCACGTTCACACACACACACACACACACGCACACACACACACACACACACACACACGCGCACGAACGCACGCACGCACGCACGCAAGCACGCACACACACACACACCACACACACCACACACACACACACACACACACCACACACCGCACACCACACACCACACACCACACACCACACACCACACACCACACACCACACACCACACACCACACACCACACACCACACACCACACACCACACACCACACACCACACACCACACACCACATACCACACACCACCACACACCACACGCCACACGCCACACGCCACACGCCACACACCACACACGCACACACCACACACCACACACCAAACACCACACACCACACAC